CGCGACACGGAAAAAAAACGAGCGTGTCGCACCGCGACCGCATCGCTTCCATTATGAGCATTTGAAATAAAGAACTTGAGCGCGCAAAAGACGCGATATGTGAACCAGCCCTAAAAGTTCACTACTGGAGGCCAAACTTAAAACAAAGAAAGCACTGGAGTGACATTCTTGCTGCAACAGAAAACACCGCTGACAGCGCTGAGCCCCAACTAAAGAGGACCGCGTTAAATATCACCACAGTGGAGCCGACTGACATGAGACAAATATTTAATGTGTGCACAATAAACGGAGATGTTCAAATAAATTTAAATAAACAACAATAAATAAAGTATCTCTTGTTGGGCAGCATTTTTAGCAACTAAATTAATAACTAGATTAAAGACCTAACTAGGGTTGGGTATCGTTTGAATTTGAACGATTCTGATTCCGATTCCTTGTTTCGATTCCGGTTCCTAACGATTCTCGATTCCAAAGAGGCAGGGTCAAAAAAGTTTAGCTAACCTTGCTAACCAACGGCCTTTCTGAAAGAAAATAATCCTTTCTGAAGGAAATACTCCTTCTGTAAAAATACTCCTTTTGTCACAAATTTTGCATTTTGCCGAGATTTCGTTATTTTTAGAAAAGTGAAGTCACACTTTGGATCGTCGACGTAAGGTACTCATGTTTGACTCGCGCGGTGATGCCAACACTTCCGGTAGACGCTTCTTCGTTGGTGTTGTTCAGCGGTTTCTTCTTCCGCTCGGCGGACTGTGAATATCGAAACTAGGAATCGAAATTTTTACTTTTGAACGATTCCGGGAAAAACGAAAAGTTAGTCTCGGTTGCAATCGATTCTCGATACCCAACCCTGGACCTAACTGTTATCTATCAAAATATGTGCCCTTGTGTTTTTATTTGTTATTTTATTTGTTATTTTTATGAGAGATAAGCTATGCCTATTTGTGTGAGGAAATTTCACAAATGTTGTGTTGTAAAAAAATAATAAAGAATGAGACAAATTTTGAGAATGGTTTGTTGTTTTTATTTGAGCTTTCCTGCATTACACATTGGAACGTTGTTGTTGTTCACGGTCAGGGACTATATTTTTCTAGCGGAAGTAATGTTTTTATTGGTTTAACTACATGAAAGTTGCACTAATACATTGTTTTTTTACTTTAATATTGTGTGGCAACCGTTTTATGAAAGCAACTGTATCGTGAATAAGTAACGGCTGAAGGGTTGCAGGCACGACGCGAACGCCCTTCAGCCGTTACTTATTCGCGATACAGCACAGCCTCTCGTACCTTATTGCTTACATACATAATATTTAATGTAAAAAAAAAGTGGTCCCAATATTGACCCTTGTTGAATACCCATTTCAGTACTTTGATAAGAGAACCTTAAAGCATCTATTTGAACACACTGTTCTGAAGACTCTAGAAATTGATTTTGAAGCTATAGCACTGATCCCATGACTGAACCTAGTCTCTCCCAGGGCTTTTTTTCTCCATTGTCACTTTGGGTTCCTTGCCACTGTCGCCTCTGGCTTGCTTAGTTGGGGACACTTAACATTCAATAATATCATTGGTCTGACTGTACTGATGCTGTTGTGTGAGAACTGAACTGAGCTGGAAAATGACATTATATTTTTGCAGAACTGCTTTAATAATTGATGATCTTTACAATGGAACTGAATCAACTGTGAACTGACTGAACAACAGCCTAAATCATCATCATTTTCCAGTTATCACTGTAAAGCTGCATTAAAACAATCAATCAATGTATGATGTGCTATATGAATAAAGGTGACTTGACTTGACAGTGCATATTATAAGATGTAAGAATTAGGGATTTGTTCAAATCCAACGTATGAACAACACACGAAGAAACTTTATCAAACATATAAACATTTTTATAAAGTTTAAACTGACCTCTGCACCGTCAGCAAAATACAATTTTTGAGAAAATTGCTTGCATTCAGATTTCTAATGGGTTTCCAAAAATGAGCACTGAGATCAAGATCTTGAGAACATGGGGACTTTTTGTACGTTTGTCCTTGTCATTCGGAAGGAAGTAAACATCTGCTCCGTATGTGCTAATGCTGCAGAGGAGCGGCATTGAAAAAAAAAAAAATCTGCACAGCTAAGAGCTATCAAAATGGGCCCAAGATAGTGGTTCAAAAATCCATTACCGACCCATGGCCTACCAGAGACAGTGAGATGCATACTTCAAACAGTGTGCCCTAGAATGTGCGAACAGAAAGTACTGTTGGAGATTGGAAAGGTTACAGGGAAAATCATTACAGCAGGCCATGTGAGACGGTATATGTTTGCTTTGAAGGGGATGCATCAAGGAAAACATGCATTTTTATTTTTTTTTTACTTTGGAAGTAAAAGATCTATTATTTTTTATCCATTTTGTAGATATGCTCTAACACTGAACCAGCAGCAAAGCAGTTAACACATACGCTTTATGTGTGCGACAAAGGTTCAAGTCCCGCCTGCAACTTGCAGCAAATCTACTTAGAAAGTCTATCTCAATTATGCTTTTAACATTGACATTTTTGACAAGTTGTGTGATTTACATTAAAAAAAAAACGGTAACACTTTATTTGAAGGGGTGTGCATAAGACTGACATGACACTGTCATAAACATGACATAACACCTGTCATGAACATGAAGGAGTCTTTATGAATGTTTATGATTGTTGTCATTAAGTGTCATTCGGTAAATTATGAAACTTTTAATGCAAAGTTGACATTGTTTAAATGGTCTTTGTTATGACAACTTGACATTAACAAAGACAAAAAATGTCTTTGTCATGACAACTTGACATTAACCAAGAAATCATAACCTGTCAACCTGACATCTTTATAGTCCAACGTTTTCCACTTTACTTGAGGTAAGGGGAAATATTAACCTGTTAACTGTCACCCCCCCTTTTTTGAATAGACATGAAAATGCACATTTCGAACTTAAATGGTTGTAATTCAAGAATGCTTTGGAATATAGACATATGATTGGTCTTGTTTTAAAGTTTAAATTTGGCAGATTTTTGTAGAAGTGAAATAAATTAAGAAAGTGAAACAGAAAAAAAGTTATAGAAGTTTGAGTTTATAGAAATGTACAATGTAAAAATATTAATTATTCATATTTTACATAAAATATATATTTTCAAAACCTGGGCTACTCTAAAATGGCAGAAAGATCAAAGCCAAAAATCTGAACAAGTTGTGTTTCAAATTTTAGGTTATCTCAAAAAATTAGCTTTCAGTAAGATTTTGTTTGAGCGCAGTACCAAACTTTTTCACTAGGGCACAATCAGACTCCATTACTGCCCATATAAGGGCACCTGCATTTCCATTCGTGTTTTGAGTGATATGAACCATTATTTTCACAATTTTCATACAATTTCTGAAGAAAAGATCCTATTCAGAAGTAGCATGGGAAGTTTGGCAGATTTTGATATGAATTGAACCTCTAAGAAACACATACAAAGAACACGCATGTAAGTCATAGCTAGCTGACACGTCACAAATGGTGAATTTATTATTTTTTTCTTGATATTTCAAACTTTTCATACCTTTTTTTTCCAAAATAATTGAATGGATTCTTTCTTTTGAACTTTTGGCATGAAAACAAACTGAGGTATCTACCATTTTTTCATGATTTTTCATGTTTACTGCTATTTTAAAATAAAGGTCTGAACACGCCTTATGAGTATGAAAATATTCTTGTTTTATATTGATAAATTATGGCTCCTCTGTAATATATTTTGAAAATCAGTCACCAAATATGGAAACTAGAGATTGTAAGCTTTCAAATGATATATAGTTTGTCAATATTATTTAAGGTATTTACTAAGATATTATTGTTTTAAAAATATAGTGGCAAACATCCCACCTGTGGGACGGTGACAGTTAATGACACTGTTGTTTTACAGCATTTGACAGTGTGATAACCCTTAATGACATCTTTATAACTAGTACAATGTGTTCCACTTTACTTGAGGACAAGTAAAATATTCATGACTTATGCGAGTTATGGTGTCATGACGGCCAAAGTCAAAACCAACCACACATGACAGGGTAATGTAATGTTAACGCAAAGCTAAATAACTTCTTCCAGTTTGATAATTAGACCTGTTATGACACATTTGTGACAGGTTATGATTTCTTGGTTAATGTCAAGTTGTCATAATCAAGACATTTCTGCCTGTGTTAATGTCAAGTTGTCATAATCAAGACATTTTTGTCTTGGTTAATGTCAAGTTGTCATAACAAAGACATTTTAAACAATATCAACTTTGCATTAGAAGTGTCATAATTTACCGAATGACACTTAATGACAACAGTCATAAACATTCATAAAGACTCCTTCATGTTCATGACAGTGTCATGTCAGTCTTATGCACACCCCTTCAAATAAAGTGTTACCAAAAAAAACATCTTAAAGGTGCTGGTGCAGTCTAAAATGGTCAAAACTAGATTCTGACAAGTTTTTGGTGCAAGAAACCCTGACTAAATGTGTGGGGTCACATGTACCAGGGTCAGAAATGAACTTTTGCATTAAGTCCACGTGTGGGTTTTTTTCCCGTTGAGATTCATTACGTCATTATTATCAGTTATTGCCCTTGATATTGAAATAATGATGATGATAAACAGGATGTGTTTGACCTATTTTAGTCTACACAGGCAAAACCATCTGAAAACCAATTATTAATTAGTTTATCAAAATCCATTCATTCCAATTGGAATCTGCATGATCTAGAAGTTCCACAGATTTCCAAGTTGGTCACAAGCATTGACTATTAGAAAGCTGCTTGGTTTGATGATTGAAAATTATGGTTTTTAAGTAAGTTTCTTGAACACCTGCTGTTGGTTGAACAAACTCATGGCATTGGTTCGGCCAATGTTGTTGTGTTGGGCTGGCTGTGTTGCTCAAATAAACAGAGGCAACGAGGAGAATTGGAGACAGTATTTTAACACACTTTTGCTTTAAAGCATGTACTGTACACTTACAGTGAATTAGGCTGACTCGGTTTGGCCAGTTGAAGCCCATCATGATCTCCGTCTCCGGTGGGCAGGCTGTTGAGTCGAGTCCAGTTGTGTGTGCTGTCGCAATTTACTGAGTCCGCACTGGAGTTTACAACCATACTGTTCCTCTTCTCCACTGCTGATGGAAGAGCAAAAATGTTGTTATCCTAATGAAGCATTAATGGTATGCTAATCAGCCTGTGGCTAAAACATGGCCTGGTGAGATCTAGTGGTTTGCATTTTGTATTTATTTTTTTAATGGTGGTTTGTATTTCAATAAGCAATTCAAGTTAGTGACTCCCGTCTTTAGACAATAACTAAATGGAATCTAATATTGGTGGACTAGTTAATTCGTCACATGCCCAGAAGGGGTTGGCAGCATTTTTTAGTAATTGCGAACAGGGTGGTTTCTGGTCATACGGTAGGTGTGCCAACTTGAAACCTGAAACTATTTCAATAATTGATTCCATTGTCATTTATAGCACAACAATTTATAGACCTTCAACTGAATATCCTTCTCCGGCTGACCTGCTGTACAGAGCTTTCAAACAAAACCGTTTGCATGCAAACAACCTACTGGGAGAATGCAAAACAATCTTTGGGATTTCCTTTTTACCATTAAGGTTTCAGTTGTTAACATTAGCTAACTACATTAGTTAACATGAACAATAATTCTACAGCATTTATTCATCCTAATGTTAATCTCAACATTTACTAAAGCATTTTATCTGCACTGTGAGCATTAACCTGTTATTAACTAATACGGTAATACTTTAACAATAACTGGGCGAGAATAATCACGTACTAATACTTGAATTAATAGTTACTTCAATATGAACTCATGATTAGTAAAGAAATGAAGGGCGATCCTTAACTACAACAGGAGTCATAATGATTCGTGCTTGAATAACAGCAGCCTTAAACATGCTAGTACATGTTTAGTTAATACATTTATTAACGTTTAGGGGTAGACTAAATCAATCAGGCTCTGTAAGAATAAATACGTGGAATATGTTGAATTAAACATGATTTAATACTGTCATAATTTGTCATCTGCAGCTTTGTGAGAAATAATTTGAATGGGACATGGTTATTTAGCCATTTATTACACAAATCTCTAAATAAAGGTGGAAAATAGACTAATAACTACCACTAATACATTTGATTTGATCTAAACTGTTTTCTGATTTTAGTTCATTTAGGCCTATGTTTAATAATAGCTACTTTTCTTCCCGGAACTACAGTATGTAGGTTTTGTTTCTGGTGGGACACTCATTAGTGGTGCACTGGGTGCTTGCTCAGCACATTTATCCACAAGTTTCCGAGGGGCGCTCCTGTAAAAAATAAAGTGGGTGAAACTTCCGGTAAGGCGGCGGAAGTAGCATTCCAATGGTATTTTGTGTGTTAGTTAGCGAAGAGGCTAGCTGTTTTTCGGAGAATTAATTTACTATTTAAAGACGCAAATCTTTATGAGCGATGTCGTTACGGAGCTCAGGGACAACATGTGCTGTTCGCGGTTGTATGTATAACCGGGCTAAACTAATTCAGTGGCTTAAACGTGATTGTTTTGAACATATGCTGAAAACGAAATCAGAGTGATCCTGCCAACGACTGTAGTTTCCATCACCTCCCAAAAGACGACGAATCGACGAATCTTCCTGTGTACATTTGTTTAAATTCTTAATATTCTATAAACTCTCTCAGCATGTGATTGGCTGTTCACTACTGATGTTACACCTAAACTCAGGATCAAAGCCTGTGTTGACAAAATACCAAATGTGCCAGTTAATGTATTCAAGTTGCACATTCATTTATAATTTTGAATAAACTCCAAAGCACAATGACTAAAGGCCATTGCACACCGAGTCCGAAATTCGCATCCGAAATTTTCGCACGTTAAAAAAAAAATTCGACCTTACGTTATGTCAGTCACGCTTGCACACCGCCTCCGAAACTTTCGTCCGTCATAAAATTAATCGGATCGGGTTCGATTTTCTGCGTTTTTCGCATCCAGAGCCAGCATTTTGAGAGGTCTTTTGACAATTCAGGGCCGGGGGAGCTCGTCCTCAAATCATTGCACATATGCGCCGTGCTTTCAGTTTCGGTTTTCAATTCGATCAAGTGTTTATGTTCTCTTCTCTATATTGGATTATGAAATTAATAAACCTCCCCTTTCAATCAGATTGAAATTTAGGATCGAATAAGGTGTGATTGAGCAGCCTATTCGATAACTAATGTATTATTTGGGCACAATACAGTATACACAATAACAGCCTGTTCTGTCTGCCCAGCGCTTCCAACGGGCCGCGCGCGGGTGTGTGTGTGTCCGTGTGTGTGTGTCCATACCTGGTCCATTTCAGACACACTGCCAGTCTCCGTTCAGAATCGATTGGTTCACGGAAATTGGTGGTCTTGTTTTTAATATGTGGCTCCAGAATCGCTAGCAAAGCATCGAACTGTCCCACTGACATTCTGAGGTAAATTTTGAATCGCTTAGGATAAATTCGCAACTCCTTGATAAGGAACTCTCCTTCCTCTCGGCGCAATTTCAGGATTGGATGGACGTAATATTTTCTCTTTCTTCCCTTTTCAATAAGAGAGAGGGCAAAAATCATCCTCACTGCTTGACGAATCCATTTGGTATTTTTTTTGCGTTTTTTCCCTCAAAGGTTTAAGAAATACGCAACGGACTCGGTGTGCAAGGTTTCTATGCGTGACGAATTTTTAAGCTGACGAACACGAAAATACGCATACGAATATTTCGTGCTCGGTGTGCAATGGCCTTAAGTGTGTATTTTTTATTTTAATTGTTTCTCAGCTCGCACAACTGTCTGTTACCATGCCTTGATGAGTATTGATTATTAATAATGTTATTATAATACTCCCAATCAACTACTGCGGAGGGTAAAGGTACTGTTATTTCACCCTTTTTAATTTCGTTGAGGTTGTGTTCCCACATCGTTAGCTAGTTTGGATCGCTATAACTTGAATGACTGTCAACTGTTGAATGAACGAGTGTCAAGCATGTCAAGTCAAGTTTCGAAACAGAAGTCGCGCCCGCTTTTGACACAAGGCCTCATGGGGCGTAGGAAACTTGTGGATACATACAGTCGGCAACGCGTCATAGTTGGGGGGCGTGGCCGGCGTGGGGGAAAGCAGCGCGACCATCGTATGTTTGAATGACAAAAATGTCATATTGCGAGCCATTGACGCCTGCCGACCGGCAACAGTACATTTCAAAATGAACTGTAATAGATTGTGATTGCCCTTATTTAATTAAAAACTGTGTCAATGACCCAACCGAATGGCTGGAGGTGTCGTTTCCAGACTATTGTTATCTGGTTGAATCTCCAGGAAAGACATCGCGGTAGCTACCGGTAACATAAGCCTATAACTCAGTCAACTTGCGTATAAGTTACTATAACTCCATAAAACCTTGTCACTTACCAATTGTACGTATGTTTCACTTTAAACTATTAATGCTTTTGTAAAACGGTGATCAGTAGTAGTAGCTATACGAAGAGGGACTTTGCTGACAGTTATCCGAATTCTCGCAGACTGCAGTCTGTATTGAGCTGATAACGCTAATGTGAATGAGACATCCCTTATAAAAAAAAACAACTATCGGTATCTTGTAGTATTTTAGGACAAAATATTATAGTAATGTTAATCCTAAAAGAATAATGGGAAATAGCCTAGAAGTACAGAGGTGTTACAGAACATCACATAAGTATTACACACTACTATAGAATACTTATAACCATATGATTACTATAGTTCTTTTTCGTAAGCGATGTAACGTCAGACAAATCTGGCCCACTGCCTAATACGAGTTAAACATCTACTACTACATCACACAGGGATCTACTCACACAGTAATCTAATAAATTATGATTAATTTAGCCATTTTGTCCTCCTATCTGGTTCTGTATGTTTATTAGAAAGGATGCAGAACTTTATAATTTGTTAGTATATTCGTGGTACAGAAAACGACAAAGCAACTCTTCACCATGATTGTCGCATGTATTTCAATGAGCGGCAAGGAAATGTTTTCACCCACAGGCTAAATTCACATCACGTGACGGGGCGTTCCCGGGGGCGTTCCCAGACCAACCGACTGTATCTATGGCAATGCTGGCCTTTTAATCTCATAAATGTTGACTGCTTTTATAAACAGAATAAGTAATTCAAGAACTGTTTCCATGTATATTGTATTTGGGAGTTTTAAAGAGGTTATGTACAATAACTGTATTTTGTTTGTTTGTTTGTTGTATAGTATTAGCTTAAAGCTTTATATATAGTTTTTTTGTTTCACATTTATTTCCATTTATTTTGCCATTTTTTTCACCATTCCATTAATTAAATAGTAAAAATATGTGTTTAACTATTTTGTCTTGCTTTTAAGAGGATAAAAATCTAATCGCAAAAATACATTTTTAAAAATATTTATTTACCTTTGAAATTTTTAACATTTCAGCAAAGATTATACAAACAAAGCACAATATAACTTAAAATAAATAAATTAGTGAAATAAAAATAAAAATAAAAAATGTATTTGGCCATCTTTGAAGCCCCCCTTCTTGAATAGATGAAACCCCCTCCCCCAAATGAAACCAATACAGCATTTCTGAGTAGGGATGGGAATTGATAAGATTTTATCGATATCGATGCCACTAACGATTCTGCTTATCGATCCGATTCTTTAACGATTCTCTTATCGATTCCTGATAGCACTGTGTGGGAAAAAGTAGTCATATGCTTTTTTGGGGGAAAGAAACAATTGGTTTTATTTGTTTTAAACCTTACACTTGACTAAGTAAACTGTACTTTTGATGTAATTTATATAATAAATGAAACCTTATGAGTTCAGTTCAGTGTTGAGTTCAGTTCAGTGTTGGGAGATCAGTTCAGTTGTTTTAACCATTCATTAAAACGAATCGGTTCAAATGAGTCATTAGTTCGCGAATTGAACGTGTCATTATCAGACGTGTGCGCGTTCCGACACAAGATGTGTGTCATCACAGAAAACATTTCATCTTTTGGTCGTTTTTTCCGTTTATTTGAAGTGTGGTTTATGTCAGCTAAATGTGCGGACCGCTTTTCAGAGAAGATAAGGCAACGTAGACCTATTTCAGCACAATTCACACCCAGCGGTAATTCAGGAAAAACAAAAACTCCGAATGCTGCACATGAAACTTTAGTCTCCCGACCTTACTATTGTGTCGATTATTTTGATTAATATGTGCGAGGGAGAAAGAGAGAGCAAGACAGCGCTTAGTTTTGAGCAGTGAAGCCAGAGAGAGGTGCGCGCGCGCACGACCGGGGCTCTCTCTCTCCCTGCTCGTTCAGTTTAACACGAGCCCTGTCACGAGCGCAGCGGTTCATAACTACAGAGAGAGACAATTTTACCGGTACTCACCGATCAAATAAGGCTTTGGTGGTACAAAAAAAAAAATCGCTTTGGACGCCGTGCTGGTGCTTAATAAAGGACAAAGGGACAGTTGTTAGTTCACTGTCTGAAGCCTACATACTGGTTGACTCAGAGCAGGAGCATCGATAAGAGGAATCGTTAACGTCGAGCGCATACAATATCGATGGATCGTAAAATTTAGAACCGGTTCTCGAGTGGAACCGGTTTTCGATTCCCATCCCTATTTCTGAGGCAAGTTCTTCTTACAATTACGCTATTATTATTCCTCACAGCATCCTAAGACGACGGATTATAAATTTGATGAGTTTTATTGAGTTGATGTGGGTGTTGACTGGTTTGCATGGATTGCCTCGAATCATTTGCGTTTGAATCGCGCGCGCTTTCAGTTGCGATAAGCAGACAATGAGTTGCCATGAGAATGACTGACATCTCTCTCTTTTCATACAGATTACATAAACAGAGAATATTATTTTTGTTATGATCATTTAATGATAATTATAAAGCTCATATATAGCCTGTGTGACTTGTATTCGCTGAGTTTTGTTTAAGTTTAGAGACGTGCTCCAGGAAAGAAGTTCACAGTGAGGAGACGGAGAGGTAGAAAGCACACCCTGTAAGAGTAAGAATACAAGGTTCTTCTTTTTTAAGCTGTTTCTGGCTCCTCAAATGTTTTCATTCCTCTCCATTGGCAGGGAATTTACATCATAAATTACTTGGATGATTGGCTGATTTGTGCCCCAACCAAACAAGCTAGGAGAGACACAGAAGACTGGGATTTGCACTACACATTTCCCTGTTAGCCTGTTGGAACAGTGGCTTGGTTCTGAACTGGAGCCTGTATCCTGATCTTCGGGTATTGAGTACCCAGGGATCCTTACAGTTGCATTTCTAGCTGCTTTGCTGGCTGCTGCTGGCAAAAAGAGCGTCGGTTGCCCTTCCTCGGGTTTGCCGAGGAACTCTGGGTCAAAGAACTCTGTGAACCTTCCCAGTCTTGGACAGATGAGGTTCAACGACCCTACCCTCCAGTTGCCAAAAACAGTCCCATTTAGCCCATCTGTCGCACTGCATAAGTTAACTCCCTTGCTTTCCGTGCCTGTTCCAGGGCTGCTCCTGATGATGGGCCAAAAACCTCCCTGGTACAACTACCACTTGCACAATCCTGGTCAGAAACATTTGCTTCTGATAACCAAACCTGGCAGTGTGCTTGGACCATTGAAGCCATGGACTGGAAACTTGTGCCAGAAAGCCTTGCTGCTAAAGGTGATGCCTGATAAGCTTTACACAGCTGAACATCCACAGCCCTGCTGCGCTTGTCTCGATGATTTTGTCTCTATCTGCTCTTGCAGTTGCTCCAGCCAACATATCAAATGTACTGTAGGTCCCACTGCAGAAAGTCCACAGCCATCCGGCCCCGACACATTAACTAACTGTGTTTTGGGTATGGCGTTAGCACAAGTGGTGCCTTCCAGGAAGACAGTAGCTCTTCGGCCCTTCAGATTTCTGAAGATGGAAGCCTTTAAAGGGATACTCCAGGGATACTTTTTTTTGAAATAGGCTCATTTTACCACTCCCCCAGAGTTGAACAGTTGGGTTTTACCGTTTTCGATTGTATTCAGCCGATTTTCTGTTATTTATAAGAATATCAGTAACCAGACAGTTTCTGGTCTCATTGACTTCCATAGTATAGTTTTTTCCTACTATGGAAGTCAATGAGACCAGAAAATGTCTGGTTAATGATATTCTTATAAATAACAGAAAATCGGCTGAATGGATTCAAAAACGGTAAAACTCAACTGCTCAGTTGTAAAATGAGCCTATTTCCAAAAAAAGCGGAGTATCCCTTTAACAAAAACAGATGTTGTTGGCAAAACACTGCCAAAACAGGCAACTTGAGGACTGGAACCCTTATCACTGGTGCACGACATGCGATGATGATGATGATGTAAGTGTCGTTGTTGGGTTTTAATGCTTTTGAAATAATATTTGACAGCCCTAATTTTGCACAGGTGGAGTTTGTTTAATTTGAAATACGATCTCCTGACAGCTTGCCCTCTAGCAAGGCTGACCCATATGGAGGCGTGTTGACCGGGATGAAATAGAGCTGGCTACAGAGTCATAAAGGTCATGCACAGAGTCATGTTTTCTAGCATTATTTTTAGTTCTAAAGAACTATAATTTTAAATATTTTAAAGAAAGCACTTGCTGGTGTACCTTTGTCTTTCTCTGAGAACGTGGGTGTGGGGAAAAGCGTGAGGGGTCTCTCACTGCAGGACGGGGCCTTGGCATCCGCACTTCTCCGCCTGGGCAGGTTGAGCTGGGTGTTGCCCTGCCCTCCTCCAGACGCTGGCATGTCTTTGAAAATCTGCAGAGTCGAGAGGAAATTCAAATCAGCATAAATATGTCAGACAGCCATGATGATGGTATGAGTGTCTGCACAAAAATAGAACAGACTCAAATGCTGCTACTGATCCTGGGAAGAATATACCTTATACCTTTGTGCAATTGAACAGATTGATGATAGCAATGACACTAAGAAAGAAAGGCAATAACTGTGGATGAAAAGTTTATATAAGGGAAATGCATTTATAGTATGTGTAGTGAAAATAATACTTTGCGATCTTGTATATTGTATTAACAAAATATGCCAACATGTCTGAGAAAAGTGAATTTGAATTTTTGAGAGAAGAAATAGAGAAAATGTACCACTTGTTTGTGGAAATAGCACTATGAATTTGGAGATTCTGACTATGGAATTACTGTGATTTTGCAGATTTGTGTTCTAAACTATTGTCAAGGCTCCATTTGCTAACAGTCAGAAATCTAAAATAGAACATGTTGACAGACTGTATATTTAAGCATGGATTAAGGCGAGGCGAATTAAACTCAGCCAATAATCAAATTTTATTCTCCCAAGTTGGCTGCGTTAGCTGGAAGAGACTTAATTATAATTGCAAAAGACTGAAGTTACCAACTTCTGAGAATTCTGATAACAATGGTGACTTCAAACTAAATATTTTTTGTCAATTGGGGCCGGATCTAGGCATAGGCAGGGGTGGACTGAGCCCAACCAAATGTCGGACTTGTGCACCCAATCAGAATATAGGCACAGATCCGGTTAATATGTTTTTTTTTTGGTAACACTTTACAATACGTGTGCACTAATAAGCATTAATTCATGCTTAACTAATGCACAGATAATGCTGAATTAATGTGTAACTAATGATTATTTAAGCTATTCATTAAGTATTACCACATTAGGAACTAAGTAAGAGTCTGTAAGGTTAATGTATTAGTTCATACATGAATTGTTATTAATTAAATATGTAATTGTGGATTAATTCCATAATAATTCATTTTTTTAACTAATAGTGTTAATTAATATGTTAATTACCAGAATGAGCCAAAGCCTTGTATTTCAACTTCCAGATAATATGACAGGTACACTAATATGCATTAATACATCATTAATTACTTCATTGTTACTGCAAATTCATGAGCAAATTACTACAATTACTAAATGACTAGTTAATAATGATGTGCCCCAACAAGTAAAGTCATAACATAATGATACCTTTGCAAATAATGATTAATTAAAGCAGACAACTGGAAGTTGAACTGCATAGCTTTGACTAATTGTGGTAATTAACACATTCATTTACACTATTAGTTAATAAAATATGTTATTAAGGAATTAATACACAATGACACATTGAATTATTAGCAATTCATGTATTACTTAATCTATTAATCATATAGACTCTTTATTAGTTGCTGATGCAGTAATCATTCATTAATGGTTTAGTTCTTCATTAGTTATACATTAACTCATGATTATCTGTGCATTAGTTAAGGATGAATTAATGCACATTAGTGCACCCGTATTGTAAAGTGTTACCTTTTTTTTTTTTTTTTTCCTATTTGGCATTGTCTTAACACAATCTGAGGCAAGCTGTATTTTGAGAAGTTTGAGTCACTGTAGAAATCCGAAAACCAAAAGTAAGCCGGCACATTATACACTCGTTTGTTCTTTAATCACGTTCTTCAGATTTTTTTAATGATGAGTTTAGTTGTGTAACAATGCTGTAGCTTTCGCCCCCCAAAAATAAAATAAAATAAATAAGTATATTTATATAAGTATATAAATAATTTTCACGAGTCATGCATCATGGGGAAAAAAGCTGTGAATGCTGGATCCATCAATGTGCCTCAACTTCTCCAAAGGGCTCTTCCATCGCTTTAAGAAGTCTTACTTGTTTTAAGGGTTGCAAACACATACTTTCCATCTTCAAGAGGAGAATATGCCGGAAGAAGCTAAGTGCTAAATGGTGAAATTGGAAATTGTCCCAAACAACATTTGTTCCTGATGACCCTGCGGAAAGTGTATTTTATTGAGGGAGTTTAAAATGCCTTACTGTGCATTCATGCCGCCGCTGCCAAGCGCGTTCAAATTTGCACCGGCCACCCTGCCAACAACGGCGTAGAAAGATTCCTGGACGCTCTAATATAGATCGAATTGCTTTGTTTTGCAAATTTTATTTGTGACCTGACCCAGCAAAATGAGTCACAGTGACCCAAATTTAAAAATTGAGATTTTGGTATCAAATGGAAAGAGGACACCATACGCTTTCAAATGATATCCTAGTCAAAGTCATACTTTGAATGGTTTTAAATATATACCAATTTGAATTATAGAAAAACCTGAGAAAATCACTTTTAAAGTTTTTTTTGCCCCCTTTGTTTTTGTTGATATCTTTCAAAATCCATTACATTGAAAGGGATAAACTATTTATTTTACAGCTTAATTTAAAACAAATACATTAATAAATGCGATTTAACCAGGCTGAAGCTCAACTTATTATTATTATTTTTTAAATAAATAATTAAAAAGGCAGTTTTACAAAAATGTACTAAAATCAGAAAGATTGAACAGAGGTGCCAGAGAGAAATTCATACCATGTAGGCTAATTTTCATATGGATTAGCCCACATAAGCAGAGAGTAGTCTGTTTCTTTCGTTTTGAATGGTTCTGTTTAAAAGTAGGCATTTCGATATATATATATATATATATTTCTCAGGTCTGTAAGGCAAGTACCTTATATGCTGAGTTTCGGTTAATTTATGAGACGAGCTTTAGTTCACGCACCGGCGCCTCCGTGTCGTGATAAGCCGATCCATTGTCTGCAATATTTACTTGTTTATTAAATCCTGGTAATTGGTTGATGAAAACATTGATTAAAAGTAAGATACAATTAATACAAAACGAAATTCACTGTTTGAGGCTCTGTGAAAGTTTTAGTGCCGCTTCCAGAGACAGCGCAGTCTCATCCAAAGACGTCATACAGCTGATGCTTTTGACCATACGTCAACATCTGCCGTTTTAGAGTACCCGTTAAGTGTCAGTTGGATGACGCCCCAGGATCGTCAGTTAACTGACGTTAAAGGGTACCCTAAAACAGCGGATGTTGACGTATGGTCAAAAGCGTCAGTTAGTTGACATCTTGGGATGAGACTGTGTTACCAGAGAATGCTCACATCGGTAACATTGTTTTTTCCTTATAAATGCGAACACGGAAAATAAAAGAAAATGAAGATTTTATGTTCTGGGGAGAGTCAACCCTTCTTCATCCGGTGGGTAGGATTACTTTTGGTTTGTGCAGTGTAATTCACATAGGCCTATTAATAAAAGTATGTAATTATCTGGGAATTTTGACAACAAATGTCACGTCCATTAGGGCTGTCGCGATAACCGCAAAATTGCAGTACCGCGCTTTTGACAAGTCAACCGCAGAGGATTGCACGTAACCGCAGCAACCGCGATATTCACGTTTTTTTTTTTTATAAGGCTTCTTCTTGTTTTGAACTTCATGCATGTGTATTGAATGTTTAACAAGTTCATAATGATAACAACAAGACTGTTTATCTTAGCCTACAGAGGCTTCACACAGACAGTGAATGAGAGAGATCTGCAGAGCGCGTGCGATTACCTGCGTTTGTCTTTGAAGTCGTGAAAAGGTTGCCGTGTCAAAGGAAAGCGAAATATTTGTCGTATCATCATTTTAACCTTCACGTCACGGGTATTTTCCACAAATGCGCGTCAGCAGCAGCGCTGATCAGCATCCCACAGCCGCGGAAAATAATATCACCGAGTAAGTGAAGCATCAGCTTCCGCGTTACCCATGCGACGCATTGCTGATCAGCTGAGCCTTGAAAAGTGGAACTCAAAGTTAAAAATAATTAACATCTTGTTTCATTCATCTCTTTTAAGTTACGAATCAGCTTCTTTGAACGTGTTCGTTGAATGAACGGTTCAAAGTCCGTTGTCATAACAATATGCGCGCTGAGTGAAAGCCTTTCAATCATGCCTTCAATGCGCATATAGACGCTGTTTAGTTTTGGTTATTGGTTAAATGACCTCGTTTTTGTCCACATCATAAACTTTATTTATATAGCAACAAATACTTGTAAATTAAATAAATAAATAAATAAATACCGCATATCGCGCTATTGCTATCGCGCTCAACATTACCGCAAGGGAAATTCCATAACTGCGACAGCCCTAACGTCCATAACGCTGAAACTGCCCAATTTTGAATAATTTATCCTCAACTAGATTTGTGCTGTAGGTCTACGTATTTTAGAATGTTAACGAAGGCCCCGAATGTTCAAATAATACCAATAGTAATTTAAAGATGTGGTAGCATTGGACGGGAATGATAACTCTGGGAGTTGGAGGGGTGATTTTGTCTTCTCACACCGCGACACTTGTTCGTGGATCTGAGTGTCGCGATTTCGGTTTTATATCACGTATCGTTACAGTTTTAAATGTACTCCCCTTGCAGTTAAATGTACTCACACAGCTTAGGTTAGAAGCCTCCAGTGAGTTCAACACTTTGAGTTCAACGTTTCAGGGGATACCCGGGAAATGCTCAGAGGTGACGAGGGGAGTTGAGAAAAGCAATGTTTATTTCAGCGAATTTAGTAAAGCTTTGACAACTTTAATAGTCATTTAAATACCTTTACTCAATTATCTGGACTACGAAACTTTGGGAGATTATTTTTAAATGTCTGTTCTTTGAAATTAGCAAAAAATATATGTTATTTCATTGTTTTTCCACATAATCGGCACATACCTTATAAATGGAACGTTGCGACTTTTGACTCATTTCGCCAGAGCGGGTCATTTAAAGGGGCCGCAAAGCAAACAAGCATATTGACGCATATTTGTGCAGATTGACCACAAGTAGGTTATAAATTAACCTCATGAAATCTTTTAAATGTGAAAAGAACAAAAAATATAGATGGAAAGAAGTCAATTATGTTTGCTAACGAAATAAACCAATTTAAAGCCACGTGTGTAATGTG